CCCAGGTGGCCAAGAAGGTCAGCAGCCTCCAGGAACAGTGCAGCCAGCAGGACCAGGGAAGGGATCGTCCCCCTGTACTCAGTGCTGGCAAGGCCCCTCACTACAAGAAAGACATGAAGGTGCTGGAGCATGTCCAAAGAAGGGCAACGAAGCTGGTGAAGGGGCTGGAGCACAGACCTTATGAGGAGCAGCTGAGGGAGCTGGGGTTTTTTAGTGTGGAGGAGAGGAGGCTCAGAGGAGACCTTGTCGCTCTCTACCTCCTACCTCCTACCTGAAAGGAGGTTGTAGTGAGGCAGGGGTCGATCTCTTCTCCAGGATAACCACCGATAGGACAAGAGGAAATGGCCTCAAGTTGTGCCAGGGGAGGTTCGGGTTAGACATTAGGAAGAATTTCTACATGGAAAGAGTAGTGAGGCCTTGAAACAGGCTGCCCAGGGAAGTGGTGAAGTCACCATCTCCACCAGTGTGGACTGTTCAGAAGTGTTCAAGAAACATGGAGATGACGCGCTTAGGGACATAGTTGAAAAGGCACGGTGTTGAGAGGCTTACAGTTGGACTTGAAAAGGCGCGGTGTTGAGAGGCTTACAGTTGGACTTGATGATCTTGAAGGTCTTTTTCAACCATAATGATTCTACGATTGACACTTGTCCCAGAGTATTAACACGCTCTGGCTGGTAGGACAGAATCTCTGCTCTAGATTTCCCTAGATCTGCTCTAGGAGCAGAAAGAAAGAATAACCTTCAGACAGCAGAGGAGCGTTCAGACCACCGACCTACCAAGGCACGAGAACCAAACCTTTTATTGTGCCCAGAGGAACAATCGGAACAGAGGGAAAGGAATTTAAATGCTTTATTCCATTGTTTCTTTTTGGAGAGGAAAGAGTAAAATTACATCAGAATTGAAGGAGGGAGTATTCTGGCATTCATGTTCTCTCTCCTGGCTGTATCTGCACCCCTACCCTACACTTTCCAAACTAAGCCTGAGGACAAACTGCAGAATACTGGGCAAGGAAGACGGGAGCATCAGCAAGGTGCCCAGCAGAACCTGTGTGCCTTTTCCAGTTCTGATGGCTGGAAAGCAAAGAAGTGCAGAGACATCAGCGGCGCGGGTTTTATTTTGAGGAATGTTCTTATGATGTAAAGCACAGAGTATATTACCAAAGAACATTCTTTTGGACTTGAATAATCCACATTTTCAACTTCCAAAGGCTGGGAATCGTCCCGAGTTTTACTGACCCTGTAGTTAACGTAGAAGAGGAAGGATATGCAGTTTTTGCTGGAATTGAAAGAAAAATAAATGTATGAAGATGCACTATTAAACCAGTCCACAACAGCAAATAATTCACATATCTGACAGCTAAGACAGAAAGAAAAAATGTAACCTTTCCCTTTGCACAGCTGAATTTTAAAATTTATTGTACAGAACTCCTCACATTTGGAAGGTGACCGTTCCCACTGTGACCACCCTACACTGCCACCCGCCCATCGTCTGCCTTTCCCTCCCCTTCCCAGATGCTCCGTGCCCTCCTGGGCCCTCAGACCGAGGCCTCC